TACGTAGCAGAACGTTGGGATTAAATACACCCGTCTGGACGATACCTACAGAGCTAGCAATTATATTCCATCGCAATGAGGCTGGACCTTACCGTGGTGCGATGGTTTGTGTGCCTCTGTGATCCACTGACCTATACTGGGTGGTGCATTTTTGCACCTTCAGAGCCACTCATACCAGATTGGTCAATGGTTAGAGGCCAGACAAACTCAGCCTCCCGGTCCTCAAGTTTGGGGGTTGGAATGAGGGTGGTTCCTTATTCCTTAAAACGGACTCCTTGTAGCCCAATGCCAAACCCGCTGCCTTGCGCACAGGTTTTTGAACCAAAGGCTTTAGTTGAGAACCCTAAGCGTTCTCCTGTCTAGGCCTGGGTAACCTGACAGTATCCTGCCCACGCAATACAGTGAATCGCACTTCAAACAAATTTTTGATGCTCTGGCCACCGCAGAGGATAATCAACGGTGCCCTATGTGCTGCTTCGGACAGGGTGGATAGGGGTTTAGATGCTACTGCTCAAGCCTTCCCGTCTTCTTATTTCCTCTCTTGCGCTTGTTCACATTTATCGTCCCGTTCCAGCTTCACTTTTACCTCCCCTGTTTTCAAACCCCCAATCCTCGGCCCTCCCCCACATTGCTTCAATAGTCGCTTGCCTTTTAGTTTCAACTCGCATGCGAACGCGGAGCGTCATTCCTGTCCTATCAACAGGCCCATGTCCAAGCAAGCGGCCCATTCCAGTCCATCGGCTTCCATTTGGAGCCCACGATTCTCCTTCATATTGGCATGCCTCAATGTTCGCACATTGCTTCAGCTCGGCCAACAGGCAGCACTTGCTCGAACACTAGACACCCTTTCCATCGATATCTGCTGCTTATCGGTGACCCGCCTGCAAGACTCGAGCTCCGTGCTCACTTTAGGATCCCCATCAGGTGACACTAGCAGCACATTCTCGTTGCGCCAATCCATTGACAATGCAGCTTCGTGCAACGGCCAAGCCGGTGTGGGTATTTCCCTGAGTTCCCGGGCTAAAGCTACTCTGGTTGATTGAATTACAATCAGTAGCCGGTTGGGTGCGATCCGATTGGCTGGCTCGTCAGTTGCTTCGAAGTCGCGCGGGACTAACAGGTGTCTATTCGTTATCGCTGCCTATGCACCGACAAACTCTAGCGATAATTCGGTAAAAGATGACTCCTATCGTCAATTGAAGGAGCTCCTTCGCCACAGAAGAAGCTCGGACACTGTTGTGCTGGCTAGGGATCTGTGCACGCAAGTTGGAAAATTATCCACTGATGAGCTGCATCTGGGCGGCCAACATGGTGTAGGCTCCTGTAATGATAACGGTGAGCGGTTACTACATTTGTGTGAGGATGCTCGCTTATTTCTTGCGAGCAATAATTTCAGACATGGCACCCGCAGGAGGATGACTTGGCGCCCACCAGCCTCGAACCAGCTATGGACGTAAATCGATCACATTGCGATAAGTTACCGATGGAGAGTTTGCGTCCAGAACTGTCGCTCGATTTGGAGCACATTTGTGGACACCGACCATGCACTTGTATGTGCTTACATTCGGATGCGTGTCGGCGGACGCCCACGAGAACGTTGTGAGCGCATTGACACCTGACAACTGGAGGAACCAGCTGTTCTGAACGCCTATCAAAGTACGCGGTCATGCGAGTTGGATAAACGCCCACTGGATGCAATTGAAACTCACTGGTCTCATGTTCACCAGACCATACTAGCAGCAGGAAAATCCTCATGTGGTGTGTCCAATGGCCAAACGGACATTGGGTCTCTTTACAGTCTCTGGAACTTATCCATGCCCGCCGGCATATTCCGGCTGGAAACAAACACAATGAAACTCGCAAAGTGCTCCGGCCAAAACTCTGTGCTAGCCTGAAAAGAGACCGCGAATCCTGGTGACGTAATCGTGCAACAGAGATAAAGATGGTCGCTGCGCTTGGTAACCATCGTATGTTATTCCGTCTGATAAATAAATAAATAAATAAATAAATAAAATGTTTATTCTCGACTAAGCAAGGCACGTCTGCACAGACATGATCATTTTAAGAGTTCAAACTGTGATCAGTCAAGGTACAATGGATCAATGGGATTGTCGCATAAGTTGATATATAAATGTATGTAAGTGTGTATGTGGGCGTTTAGCCGTATTTATGGAATTAGTAAATGTATTTCAGTCTTTTTGATCGTGCTTGAACGTGTGGCCAGTGTTAAATGGGTGCTTGATGGCTGGGGACTTGAAGCGGTCGTCCGGATAAGCAATGGGTGACTTTATTTGGTGGCGAGTCACAACCGCCACGTCACAGTGTTGTTAAGCGGACATTTGTGGCTTTTTATGGGAGAACGCTTGCCAGGCGGAAACCCACCACGTCCTGGAACACTGCCGCCGAACTATTTGCTGGAAGGGGTAAACCCAATCCACCCAGCTGGCACCACGAGGAGGTTGTACGGCCAGCCAGCCCTGGTGTTAGTGAAACTATACGTGACAAGATTGGACAGCCTATCCCCAACTTCTCAAAACGCTTGGAACGTGGGGCTGAGCAATTTAAAAGGCAATTTAATCGGTCGGAATGGCTAGAGTTCTCGCCGACCAATGATCGCTCCACTCACTAGGTTGTCCATTTGGATCCACCCTCTCGCTCAGAAGTCGAACCTGAGGTCGGACTGTTGAAGTTAAATAAAGCCGCGGGACCTGATGACCTTCCTCCAGCCCTCTTCGAAATCGGGGACCTGATCTTATGTATGATTTACACGAGTTACTAGTCAAACTATGGGAGCAGGAAACTGTCCCAACCGATTAGAGCCGCTCCATCATAGTCCCGATTTTCAAAGGAGGCTCACAATCGGAATGCGGCAGACTTTGAGGAACCAGTCTGATCTCGATCGCCTCCAAATGGCTTGCCTCTGTCATCTTCACGGACTGACTGGCACTCGTGAAAGCCAGATTTATGAAGAGCAAGCTGGATTTCGTCGTGGTCGTGGCTGCATTGACCACATCTCCACCTTGCGTCAGTTGTTGGAGCACCGTCACATATATTGGCGGCCCACCGTTGTCGTGTTCCTCGATACCAAAGGTGCATTCGATTCGGTGGATAGACATGCACTTTGGGACTCTCTACTCAGGAAGGTGTACCTGAGAAATATGTGAATATCATCTGAGTATTATATGCTCGTAGCTAGGAAGAGTGAGGGCTTACAGTAAGTTATCGTAGCCCTTTAATATCTCCAGCGTAGTGAGACAAGGATGTTCGCTTTCACCTTTCCTCTTCAACTTTGCTGTTATCGAAGTCATAGAAATCGCGTTTACAGGACATGACTTAGGAGGTGTGGAGCTACTCCCAGGAGAACAACTTCTTGACTTAGAGTCTGCTGATGATATTGCCGCAATCTCTGACAGCTCACAAATGTGCCCAGCGGCACTGGACAGATTAGCACTAGCTGTCCGTCACTTCGGGCTTTGTTTCGCACCCTCGAAGTGCAAAGCGTTCCTCCAAGCTTGATCTGGACCACCCACTACGCTGACCGTTTTTGGGGATCAGCTAGAAGTCGTTCAAAAATTCAAGTACCTGGGAAGTTGTATCAGTGCCCGTGGGATTGAAGACGAGACCACCAACCGCATAGGAATAGCTCGGGGCGCTTTTGCTAACCTTCGCCACTTATGGCGCCGGCGCGACATCTCTCTGGTGCTGAAGGGTAGAGTGTACAATGCAGCGGTACGTTCGACATTTCTGTACTGTTGTGAAACCTGGCCCCTTAGATCAACGGCCATAAAGAGACTAGTTAGGTTCGACCATCGGTGCCTTCATAATTTAGTTCACATCTGGTGGGAACACCGAGTTAGCAACGAGCATGTCCGACGCCTTGCTTTTGGCACGGGAAAAGGAACTGAACTGCTCAGCACCGTCATTTCACGCACCAGGCACCGATGGCTCGGCCACGTGTTACGCATGCCAGCCCACCGTCTCCCGCGACGTGCGTTGTTTGCGCGCCGGGGGTGCGGATAGAAGAAGAGGAGCGGTGGCCAAGCGATGACTTTGTCGAGAGGAATGAAGACCCTCACTTTGGAGCTGGCCTCGGTTGGAGCGTCTCGGCTCCCTGGTTGGGGTCCAAAGGACGATGAACACGTTTGGTTGGACACACTTGCTGATATGGTTAGGAGCGGACCTCAGTGGCGTTCGTGCTCTGAGTTTCTTTGTCCCACCCCATCCCTCTTAGCCTCCCCTCCAACCACGATCTCCTTATTTAGCCTTATATAATTTTGCATAGTAATATTTTTGGTGCACAGCAGCCGGCTGGTAACTACCGGAACGATGCCCATCCGTTACCGGTAGCTCAGCCGGCTTGCTCCAGTTGAATTCTTTTTTCCCTCCTTTTTTGTGTATCGCCGCGTAGTAGCTGAGGTGTTCCTTACCTCTAGCTAACGTGTATGATGATGCTGATGAGGAGCAGTTTTGTTCAGGAAAGTCACCGAACCCACTGTTGCCATTTTTAATGGGTGAATGCTTGAAGACCATTGTTGGTTTGGGTTGCTTGAGCAAGCATTTCCTAACAGGGTTTTCTAACGTTACTGTCATGAAGCTCATCAGGCTGGAATCGTTTCGGTTAATAAACCAAATCCACCACGACTACTAGTTAAAGTGGTTAACTTCACCATACAGGAGCGCAAGGCGTTAGCGTCATGTGCCCTCAAGTTCATAAATGGTATCGTTAGTGTTCAACCTGACATTTCGTCAGCAGGCACGTTAAGGTCAAAAGAAGCCAGCAGCGACCTGGAAACCTGGCGCATAGCCGGTAAGCAAGCTCGGCGATTAGTTAACTGTCGGTCCATTTCTGCCCCACGAGAAGCTGTTCTAATTGTGCCGAAGTCATACAACTACAACTTTACAATTTGTGTAGCTTGAGGAACAAGAAGTACGGAAGCCTGTTCGTAGACAAGTTTCAACCAAATATATTTAACTTCACTGGCCGGCAACGCTTCCCGCATATGAGGTAGGAGCCTCGCCGACAAAAATATAAATAACGAAATAAATAATTATTTTATTTTTGAATAGATGCAGGCATACCAATTCAGGTATGATCAAAATCTACAATCCATTAGGTGGCGTTACAGATAGGTACCAACGCACGTAATAGGCTGTGGCCAGAAGTTGTACAATTTGCAGAAACTATCATGAGGAGCAAAGTCAGCAGTGGGGTGCCAATAACAGGGTTTTAATTGTGCGTAGAGTAACTAACAAAGCCCAGTAGGTGGAGTGGGGACCGTATATGAAGACACAGTAAATTTATTGTAGTGTCAGTAAAAGCTTGAAAATGGACTAGTCGATATTTCAGCGTGTAACATTGGACAGTGAATTTATTCAATGTAGAGGCACATCCGCCACGTCACAGTGTTTATAATCGGAGTTTAGTGGCTTTCTATAAAGAGAAGGTTTGCCCGGAGAAACACCCACCACGTCCTGGAACCCTGTCGTCGATTGTTTTGAACGGTCATGTACCGATAGCAAAGCGTCTTATAAAGCATTTGTCCATGCGGTTACTCGCAGTCGTCACTCCTCTGTCGGCTAAACGAACGGCACAGTAGAAGCCAGCATGGACGTCGAGGCCAGTCGAGGAGGAATTATGGGTTTGCAGGTAAGTAGAATTTCCAGTGTATGGGGTGTCAAGGTCTCTGATTACGTATATTTTCTGGGGGGTGAAGGATTCGTGTCCATGTACCCACACTGGACTTTGTTTTTGAGGTGTTGGGTGAAGGTGGTTGGTTTTGAAGTAAAGCCATGGTCCAGCTAAGTCCTTGTTGGTTAGTTCATCCCATCTCAGACGGAGGTAGTTCCTCATTTTAATCCCGGATCTCGAAGATGTTTATGACCTCAGAGGAAAGGAAAGAGAGAAACTGGCCGAGAAAAGACCAAAAAGGATGGACATGGTATTAGGCATTACGGAACTCTTACTTTAAAAAATTTACTTGTTACACACTTGTGTACGAGGTGTAACCGGTATTACGCTGAAAATGCATGGCCCAATGGTTAAAGTACTTTCATTGTTCTTATCTACCAAGTCTTTCACCTGCCTTTGGAAGCGGGACGTTTACCCGTCGACTAGAAAACTGGGGCCGTAAGACCGAATTACACAAGGGTTCCGACAGAATCTGTGAGCTATCGCCCAATCTTCGTGATAGCCATTATCTGTAAGGCCAGGAAAAAGAGCAGAAAACACAATATGTAAAAGCATTACAATGGAAAACATAATTTACGCGTTAATGTGGTTTCTAGTATTGCCCCGCTGCTATTATGACCTGCTATCAGCGAGCGAAAAGTTAACAGAAGGTGCGGTTTGTTACCTTCAGCAAAGCGTTTGATAAAGCCTTTACTTCAGCGACCGCTGTTGAAGCTTGTGGAACTCGGGGTTGTTGGCAGGCTTCATTTGCGGATTGCCGACTACTTGAAATGTCCAACCACGCAGGTGGAAGTGAACGAAAAGAAATCGAAGCTAGTGAGCATGGTCAACAGGTTTCTACACGCAGTTGTCCTTGGGCCCGAACTGTCCGGGCTGTACCTCGATTACCTTTCTGCAGCACTCGAAAACAAATGCTGGATCTCTGCTGACGACCACAGGCCGTGGTTTGAACTGGCAGCCCACAACGCCGTTGAGCAACTACAGAGCATTCTTAACCCACTGCATGACTGGTCCAGAAACTAGGGCCTTGCATAAGCAACAAAGGAGGCTAGTCCTTTCCGGTTTAAGATTCTGGGCCACTTGAAACTTACGCCATTGTAAGGATGTTTCCTCTAAACGGCCGCTCAAGAGAAAATTCTGGACGCAATAACGCCACCTGATCGGAAAACCGCACTGAATGCACTGGAAACAGTTACCATTGCACGCAATCTATGCTGTGCCACAGGATTCCTCTCTGGTATGATGCTGAAGGTGTGCAAGTTATTGCGCGCTACCCACTTGCCGCGAATTCTAGAGTATGGTCTGTCAGCTGTATGCCCAAATTCTAAGCAAAGGTTGCCTAAGTGAAGAAGACCAGAAACCTGGCACTAAGTTCCTTTCGGGCTTCGTGAGCTTCTCCTGATTCAGCAGATGTGTCTGTTTGTCATGGAATACCGACGTCGTCATTGGTATCACATCTTTACTTAATGCAACTAAGAGCAGAACTACGGAACAAACTACAGCATCTATTTTGGCTCAACACAGATGGCTCGCTACGTGGTCACAACCGGGAGCTGTTTTTACCGAGAAGGCTCAAAGTCCACTCCGCTGTCACTCTGTTCAATTGGGCAGCGAATGACTGGAATCGCTTACCGGAGACAGTTGTTGATACGCAGCTAGAGGAAAATATCAAACGGATTTCAGGCACCAACCTACGTAAGACACCAGGACCTACTTGTACTGTGGCCTCTCCGGTTCCATGAGAACTATCGAGTTGAGACAGGATGCGTACTCCTTTGCTGAACTGGAGGCCGTGGGGCTAATTAACTCCGTGAGACCTCTCACCTGCCCCTAGCTCATGTTCAGATCGTACGTGGAAGATAGAATCCCGCAAGTTATCCTACTTAAGCACATGGTTGGGCAAAGGGTTGATAAAGTTCTCGGAGTTCTTGATGGATAAAAAACAAACACACCTATCTCACCCAGGTCAAACAGTTACTTCCCATGTCTTCTGCACTTGCAGTCACGTGAAGTAAGCGAGCGAGAGGCAGCGAACTCGAAGGTTCAGAACAACTTCTATTAGGCAACAGCTTGCCAAACTACGCGAGGCTCGTAATATAACTGGTCCTGCCAGGTCAGCCTTGTCAGACCAGCGGCATTATAGCCCCGCGCTCTTCCACACTAGGGAGTCCAGTGCCTTTTTACCCCAAGTACTCCACGATCACGATGTCGAATGTGGCATGCCTTGCGACGCGCAACGCTCACAGAGCAAAACTACGTGCTAGTCCGAAGGGAGACTGCCAGGCACGGGGATTTCATCATGTGTTAGAAATGAAAGCAGCCGCTGCCCTGGTGCCCTTGAAACTTATTCTATCGGCTACGAGAATTAGGCAGCAAGAAACGACCATATCACGACTATGCGTTAACATAGTGCAGTTTAATTTTATTGGCAGTTTGTTCGGTCACATTTTTCTTTCCTCCATTCTTCTAAAGGATATCAGTATCTACATGAAACACCTCCCAGTGCATAGCTGTGACGCCCAACTGGCCACGGAAGCAACACAAATCATTGACCTCGTCCGCACCACGCAATCCTGACACACTAAAGGAATCGGAAAAACTAATCTAATGAATAAGGTCACCTGAGTTGTCCGACTTCAATAGCTCCAATCACTCGCGGTCGACTCCGAAGAAGCCAACCACACAGCCATCGGCATTCAGTTGGCGAAACCTGACTGCTAATAACCGCAAGCACAACCGTTCAAATGCAATCTTGTCATTGCCACGTCACCGGTTAGCAGTGTCCAGGACCTAATGATTTTTGCTTGGCAAGCGTTCTCCCTACCAAAGCCACAAGTGTCTGTTTAACAACACTGCGACCTGACGGACGTGTCTCGCCAATGGATAAAGTCACCGCCCAAACAAGCATTATAAAGTTGGCCGAAACCACATTGCACAAGTTCTGTGCACATACGCGCTCGCACACCACTACGCCTAAATGCTTTAGAAGAGACGTGCCACTATTCTTAACACATTTTTACAGCTATTTCCTCTTGGTTAACCCAACCGATTTGCATTGTTTACGCAATCGCATCGGACCAGTTCCTCACCATCCTGCACCACTCCAGCTATCGCCAATTCTTAGCTTCACGTCCTAAACTGCGAGGGTGGAGTTTATTCCATCTTTGGGTCAAGTGAGCCAACACTACTGATTAGAATTGTATTACTCCCGCTCTTGGACCTGCTTTTATGCTAATATGTAGAACAGCGCTCTATTCTGCTCACGCCCAAAAGACGTGCCTCGCATTGTCAAAAATAATATATTTATAGTATTTCAATTCAAGTAGAATGCCCATTTATTATGTCAAGTTTCGAAAGATAAACAAAACACGGAGCTTTGAGCAAACAATTGTTTTCGATTACTTCTTCATCAGGCTCATACAGTAATATACTTACTTATGTGAGAGGAGTAACATCTAAACAGGTAGACAAGAAACGATGCAAAATGCAGAAAAACTTAAGCGAAACAAAGGGTCAAACCAGACTACCATCAGTTCCAGAACAATACGTGCACAACCATTCTAGTGTTCATTTAGACAGACTGCAGCTGCAAGCACTTTCACTTGGTCTAAAATTTAGCCATCCGCAAAACAAATACAATCGTGTTGAAATAGAAACACAGTTTGAACACCTATTCAAGCAGACAAACGACTTGGTGGCCAACGCTGATATGGAACTTGAACAGTTCAAATCAACTTTGGTCAACGTTTCTTTTCAATACCAAAGACAACCAATAGAACACCATCGACTACTGACAAAAGCGCACCTTGATGCTTTGAGAGAATTTCAGAAAAACGAAGATCTCATGATAACCAAACCAGACAAAGGATCTGGGACTGTGCTGATGGATCGCGCAGGTTACATCAAGAAAATGAAAATGATACTCTCGGACACTTCACGTTTCGTGAGATGTGAACAACAGAAAGATAAAACAGAATGTGTAGAAAATCAATTGATCAAGTGTTTGAAATCACTAGTGAACGACGGCGCCATCACCAAAGAAACGTACGAGCGACTTCGTCCCATAGGCTCCACTACTCCTCGCCTTTATGGTCTCCCAAAAATACATAAACCTGACACACCATTGAGACCCATACTAGATATGAGGAATTCACCGTACCACAACATTGCGCAGTGGCTGACAAAAATGCTGAATCCCATCAGACAAATGATTGCTCCTCACAGACTGGCAGATACATTCCAGTTCATCAACGAAATTAGAGATATGAATGTCCAAGAACATCGGATGTTTTCCTTAGATGTTGTTTCATTGTTTACCAACGTGCCTCTGATAGAAACAGTTAACTACCTGTGCTCATACATTGACCAGCATGGTATAAATATCGGTATACGAAGCAACCAACTGAAACAACTGATACTCAGATGTACGTACAACGTTCAATTTCAATTCAATAGTGAGTTTTATAGACAGGTTGATGGCGTTGCAATGGGCTCCCCGCTTGGTCCATTGTTAGCGGATATTTATATGGGAATGCTAGAAAACGGTCCATTAAAACAGGTCATATCCGGACTGAAATTCTATCGGCGCTATGTGGATGATATAATTTGTATAAGTGATCGGACCACCAAACCCCAAGATATAATCGACTGTTTCAACAATGCGCACCCCAATGCCGCATTTACAGCTGAAGAAGAAAACAACAACCAAATGAACTTTTTGGACGCAAGTCTTATCAGAAGAACCGATGGATCAATCCAAAGAAAAGTATACAGGAAGCCATATTGGACTGGACAATACATGAACTTTCATAGTTTCGCCCCACTCAGCCAAAAAAGAACGCTGGTACGAACGCTAACCGATCGGGCATATAAAATCTGCAGCGAAGATACCATAAAAGCCGAACTCGCACGAATCAAAGAGGCGCTTCTCGAAAATGGATATCCGGAGCGATTTATCGAGACCCATATGAAGCGATGCATACCAAAAGCATCAAAACAAACCGTTGAAAAGAAACAGCTTTACTTGACACTTCCATTCAAAGGAAATAGTGCGGCTGAAACATGCACACGCCGACTACAGCAAAGCTGCAAAAAGACCTTTAATGCGGCTCAACTGAATGTGATTTACACGAGCAGACCTTTACTAGTTCCGAGATTCAAAGACCGAGTGCCTGATCATCTCCAATCGATGTTAATCTACCGGTTCACCTGCCCGTGCGGGGCCAGGTACGTTGGACGGACGACCAGGCATCTAGGTAAGAGAATTAAGGAACACCTACCAGGTTGGCTCTACACGCGCGAGAATAGAACAAACTACAGTGCGATTACAAACCATCTAATAAACACAGGTCACCAGATAGACAAACGAACAGCCTTTCAAATTCTCTACAAAATACCATCAAGACAAAATCATCGTCTAAGAGCAAGCATACTCGCCACCGCTGAGGCAATATGCATACGTCTCACAAATCCGAACTTGTGTGTTCAGAAGAAACTAATACAAACACTACAACTTCCCTGGCCGACCACCAGCCGTGAAGGAAGTAATGGTACTCCGCAAATTCACCTGACCTCAGTCACGTGATCAGATGAAGGCCATCACGATCACAAGTTAAATTGTCTGATCAATTGTTTCTTTGTTACACTAACGATTGCAGCAGACGTTAACATAATGTATATTACTGTATGAGCCTGATGAAGAAGTAATCGAAAACAATTGTTTGCTCAAAGCTTCGTGTTTTGTTTATCTTTCGAAACTTGACATATTTATAGTCTCACGTGTAGCAAGCTTTTAGTTATAATTCCGAGAAGTATTTCTTCTCAATAGTTTACAAACTACATAGCAGAGCCTAGTCCGGAAAAGCACCAGACGCGTTTCTCCCTATCGGGGCTCGTCAGTGGTGCGCTTCCATTTGGTCCGTTAAGGAGGGTCGAACCCATGACCGCTAGAGGCATATGCCAACTAGCCAGCCTAGTTTCAAAATACTATGGATATAGCTTTTAGCGAGAGGAAGTTACCTCGCAGCCTAACCATTATCAGTGACAGTGAAAGATAGGTGATGCTATATCACAGTTGGCTTACAAATTAGGTGGCCCAGCAAGCGTCCCCATGGCTCAGTGGCTTAAGCTGCTGGCAAGTTTGCACCTGCCTCTGGCAGTCATGACTTCGATCTTCCTTAGAGGACCGAGGGCCTGAGCACGACTCACGAACCCCAATAGGACGATATGCTTCTGGTGCATTTCCGGACTAGGCTCTGCTATGTAGCTTGTGCACTGTCGGGTTGAAAGCCTTACCAGCAATAAAATATTTATTCATCTATAGTTTTAAATTCTAATTAGCTGGGCTCAATGCTGGTGAGCGCTCAACAAAGTGAGAAAACACTTGTACTGCAATTGGCGGTGCTCAAAGAAATCGGCCTAGAAGGAGCATTTTCGTGGGCGAAGCAACTCCAAGACTGATCTCGTCCTACCTAATTAGGCTTTAAGTATGAAGATCCACGATCGTACGGTCCTGGATCGGCTCAAGTCTGCTATCCGTAAACTGAAAATACGTACCCGTGTGAAGGAAGCAACTATCCGTGTCGTAAACTTTCCGGTGGTTCCCGAGGAGCTGCAAATTAGCGTAGACAAGTTGCTCACACTACAAGCACACATGGTGGTACCGTCTGCGGTCTGCGTGTATCCTTTACCAACGATTGCCGTGTTAGGAGCAAGCGTGCTAAGCTACGTCACTGCGTTGGGTCTGAGCGGTTTGGCTTAGTGGGACCCGCGGACATGGCTGCATTCAGCGGTGTGCAGCCAGGAAATTGCACACACGGTTACTCGTGCTTCCACTATGAGAGACTAACTAATGCCCACGGCAGTGTCTTGCTCTACCTCCGGTCTTCTCTGCAAGTGAGATTTGTGAGAAACTACAACAGTGACGGTGGTCTGTGTGAGCTAATGTGGTACACCATCCACCTCAGGCGCGGGAAACTACTTGTGAGCCCAATCTAGCGCGGCCCCTAAGTTGTTGTTTGGATTGGCTGTCCCATACCACAACCAACATGGGTGATCCACATTTTCCTCTCATGGGCAAGTTTTAATGCCCTCTAATACAGTGGCCTGATGCGCATTTTATGCTTGCTTATGAGGAGGTGGGTGCAAGGTTCTTGGAGCTGGTACATGAGACTGGGGCATCGTAATACATGCCAGCCAACACGCACAATATAACGCTAAAACCCCTCGTTTCGCGACCTGATGGTAAAGATCCAGGAACCAAGCGCGCTTAACCTACGGATCCTGGAGCTTCTGGCTACAAGTGACGGCACAGCGCTCATAGCTGAAATGGAATCTGCCGGATTCATGTTGGCTGGAGCCAGCTTACAACTGCGGGAAAGCAAAGTTGGACGATTTAGGTTGAGCCGCAAAACAAACGCATTGACCTCTGTCATAAGCTGCTTCTGTGGGCGTGTTGGACGGATATAAGAGGGACGCTGACGCTATTAGGTTCCCAATTTGTGACCCTGAAATGTGTGACCTACGTTCTATCACTCGAGTAATCAGCTCAGTCAAATGGTCATCACATCCTGGTCCCGATGACCTCCCCTCTAAGTTGCTGACACTCAGTGGCCAGGACATTCCAGTTCTACTTCTCAACATATTCACGCTTTACATGACTAACGGGATTTATCCAACCACATGGAAACATGCCACCTTCATCCACAGAAACAAAAAGGGCAGTCCGCAGAACATGGAAAACTATCGCCCCATCAGCCACTCGCCTATAGCTTCGAGAGGAATGGAACGGATAGCCACAGAAACCATGCTCACCTTCCTGCTCACTCGTAACCTCGTCAATCAAAAATAACATGGATTTCTGCCGTCTAAAGCCTGTCAGACCTGTTAATTTGAGTTCCTGAACCGTGTAACTCAACAGATTGACAACAAGCAAGCACTAGCCATCATCTTCCTAGACATGACAAAAGCATTTGACAGAGAACCACATACAGAACTCTTGATGAAGCTGGAATCATAAGGTATCTCCGGCAAACTGCACGCTTGGTTCTCATCATATCTTGCAGCTCGCTCACAGTCAGTAATGGTTGGAGAATTTATATCACAACCTAAACCAGTCAAAAGTGGCGTAATTGAAGGTAGCGTTTTAGGCCCTCTACTTTTTCTGCTCTATAGCAATGACGTGTTCCAGGTTTTCAAACATGGGACACCCTACCTATTTGCGGACGACATCAAAATTGTCTTCCCATTTCCTCCGTCAAACTTCCACACCGCCCTCTCCCATATACAATACGACTTAAGATCGCTAACTGCATGGTGCGACATGGAAGTTGGCTTTTACACCATCAAAATGCAATGTCCTTACGTACCGATGCACCATGCCTCCAAATACCTTAATGCTGCAAGGCACGCCATTAGGGAACTGCCTAACAGTGCGTGACTTAGGCGTGCACTACTCCTGTTCGCTGAACTTCGCGGAACAAGTAATTTATTCCGCAGCTAAAGCACGCTCTCTCATCGGTTACATCCCTCTAACCAGAAAGGGGTGGGGGGGGGGGGGGGAAAATAAAAAGGGGAGGTATATATGGGGGGGGGGGGGGGGGGGGGGGGGGGGGGGGGGGGGGGGGGGGGGGGGGGGGGGGGGGGGTGGTTGTGCGGGGTGGGGGGGGGTTGGGGGGGGGGGGGGGGGGGGGGGTGGGGGGGTGGTGGGGAGGTTGTGGTTGTGTATTGTATATTGAGTTTAGAGTAGAGATGTTTTGGAAAGGGGGAAGGGAGTGTGAAGTTTTTAAATTATTGTAAAGAGGTTGTGGGATGGGGTAAGAATATTTTAAAGAAGGGGAAATTGAGATAGTAAGGGTGATGATTAATAGTTAATTAAGGGTGGATGGAGAATAGTATTAATTGAGAGAGGGAAAGTGGGGGGGAGGTGGTTTTGGGGGGGGAAATGGGGTGAAATAGTTAATTGGAGATTGAATGTGTATAGAGAGTTAAAAGTTTAGGGTTTTGTAGAGGTAGTAATGGTGGGTAATTTAGAGGTGGTGTGGAAGGGGAAGAATTTTGATAAGTGTGGCGTATAGATATTTGGTGGGTTGTGGGGTAAGAGTTATTGTATAATGGATGATGTTTTAATGTGGTAAAGGAGGAGAGAGTGTATAAGTAATAGTGGGAAAATTATTGGAACAAACTACTGCATATTAACTGTCCTGAAGACCAGTTTTTTGAAACTGGACCGGACCACTTATAATCGTCTCTTTTTACCTACCCACACTTTCTCCTTTTCGACTCGTAATATTCCTATCTGCCTGCTTCCTCCAACAACCCCTTATGTCCTCCACCACCTATGCATCAGCCACCGGATACCGAATGCCTTTGCATTCCTTCAAACCTCCCACATCTGGCTAGCTCGAGCTATCCGCCTCTGGCATAAACGTAACTGGCAGTTACGCAGATGGTGAAGTGGGCGTGCGTAGGACCACAGGTACCAGTTGACGTGTAGTGCCTTGACGAATGCTACACAAGAAAACCGTAGCCCAGTAAGACAGAAGACGGCAAGATATTAAGAATGTCTTGAGAAAATAGCTATGTACAATAGCTATGTAAATATAGCTTGAGGACAATGGGAGAGAGTGGTGAAGCAGAGTTACACCACGTCGGAGCACAACAGTCGGCAGCGCGGGCAAGACGGCGGACCAGGTTCAAAATTGCAGTCCAGTATATATAGGCTTTGGACGGGTGCAAAGTAAAACAAAATGTGTACAAGTCTGAATGTGATGTTTGATGGAGTAAAATGTCATGGTCACTACACAGGCCTCCCCCTAGAAGGCCGAGGGACGAGGACTTCGATCGTTGCTGGCTTGCAGATGTAAGAAGGCAGAACCATAGGAGTAGGTTAGTATTTAGATTATTTATTCTTCTTGTGGATTGGAATGCATCATCGGTGGGCCGTCCCAGCGGGCACACCGGACTACAAAAAAACTGGATAATCCAGAAAAAGGGCCGGTAGGACCTTCCACCGCTGCTGAAGGACGGTGCGCTTGGGAGAGGTCACTCCCCCCACCGCATTCCAATCCACTGCCACAACGAAGCTGAAATCCTGTCCGTACCGGCGAGCCGTGCGGGGACCAGAAACAACGAGCCAGGCACACGAGCAGCCAAAGCCAGGAAGGCGAGCCAAACAAACGACCAAGGCGAGCCAAAATGAGCCAAGCAGACCACGATCCAAAGGCCAACGTGGGCGGGCGAGACGACAAAGCGTTGGGGGTAGACCAAAGCATCCAAACGACCAAAACAATTGAGAAACAGCCAACCATTGAACGGACGGACCCAAACGTGTCAGCCTTATGACTCTACCTGATAGATGGGGAAAAAAACTCGGGGACAGATTCCGATATGTACTCTGTTAACGGAAAAACATAATACAAACAACGAGAGAAAATGAAAAAGATTCATGAGGTATGGATGAGTTCGACAAAATCGGAGAAACGAATAGGTTTACGAACTCTTCTACCGTGACTGGTATTAGTTTGAGGCGAATCTGGTGACTGGGCTTGTGGTGGAGCTGAAAAGCTGGGTCTTTTGGTCAACGAGTTTGCGATGACGCGCATCGACGAGAAGATCGAAGTGTTGGAGGAAGTCGATACCCAATATAGCAAACGGAACAGCAGCGATTGTGAAAATCCATCGAAAGGGACGTCGTAGTCCGAGATCAATGGTAAGGGAGCGTTGACCGGAAACTCGGATAGCGGTGCCGTTAGCGGCACGCAAGTTAGTTGTCTGTGGCTTAGTCGCATCGCCTGGAACCGGTGGGATCACGCTAACTTCCGCCTTGGTATCAACCAGGAACATGATCCCGGTGTTCCTATCAGCGATTTTGAAGAGGCGATTTGGATGACTTCGGCCGACGTCGTTCGTCGCCAATACGTGTCGGCCTGTCCTTTTTCTCGTTACGGGAAATGAGCATAGTTTTATACAATTTCTAGCGGACCTTCTTAAACGTGTGTGATAACGGCAAATTGGGCGTCGTGTTCGTCTTCGAGATGGGCTAGGGGAACGGGATGGAGAATCCCGTTGGTGCCGATGTGACTTTAAGCTTTGAACTTCTTGCAGTAGTGCGGCTATCTCTGCTAAGAGCTCACCAGTCGAAGGTGGAGTAGCGGTGCCGATGGTTGGGACCGAAGGGTCAACAGTAAAACCTACGTCAGGTAAGCGAAGAAAACTAGACGACGGACACGGTGGTCCGGTGAAACGATCCATCATGTCATCAGCAATATCAGCAACTTCTGACAAAGGCTGAGATTTCACAAGCGATAGCATAGCTTGTACATTTTCAGGCGAACGCTGAAGCCATAACTCTCGAAGCAGCAACTCGTCCATATGCAATCCTTGAAGAAGACCACGCATCTCTATCAATAGCGCGGATGGCTTACTAGCACCTAGCTGTAGACCAGTAAAAAGTTTATGCAGGCGGGACTTCAATGAGGGAGTAACACGCTTTATTACCGCGTTCTTGAGAGAATTATAGCGGTCAGGAGGACAAGATGTAATAATAAGATCACGTAGTGCTAAAGTAATATCAATCGGCAGGTGTGTTAGCAAGTGCTTAAACTTTGCAGAGTCATTGGTAACATGCTTAGAAGTAAATTCAGCTTCTAAAATCATGAACCACAAAACCGGATCCTTTTCAATAAACGGTGGAACTACGAGAGATAAAGCTTGCACAGACTGTGAATCTTCACACTTTTTAGAAACTGAGGCCATGGCTTGCGTGGAAAAACCAAAGAAATGGAACAAACTCACCGGAAAGCGAATATGGGTCACCAATTATGTAGCGCCTTGACGAATGTTACACAAGAAAACCGTAGCCCAGTAAGACAGAAGACGGCAAGTTATTAAAAATGTCTCGAGAAAATAGCTATGTACGATAGCTATGTAAATATAGCTTGAGGACAATGGGAGAGAGTGGTGAAGCAGAGTTACACCACGTCGGAGCACAACAGCCGGCAGCGCGCAGGCAAAACGGCGGACCTGGTTCAAAATCGCAGTCCAGTATATATAGGCTTTGGACGGGTGCAAAGTAAAACAAAATGTGTACAAGTCTGAATGTGATGTTTGATGGAGTAAAATGTCATGGTCACCACAGACGTTGCCCAACTATAACCTTATCTCAAAGCTGACACCGTTCTCTCTTATATTTGTTACCCTATGAATCACGACAACACTGAAGATTCTGTTTTAATCGCGCTTCCATTTACCGTATATTCCTACTACTTCTACTTGTTTGGTTCCGGATTTCCCCTCCCATTACGGAATGTCTGTATTACTTAATTACGTTGACATATTGACGCATTCTGCGACACTCTATATATACACTAATAAACACGCGTCTTAGTGGAATGGCTACACGTGGCCACTGATGGCTTTTCCTAGCTCCACCATCTGTCGATCGCCTTAAATTCAGTCTCTGTTTAGAACAGTTAGTGGTCGTCCGCTCCAAGCATCCCTGTTCATATCGGCAGCTTGCTCTGAGCCACTCTCTTTTATCACCAAACTTCATCCTTTGGGACTGGCTGCTTCACATATATTTTCTGTCTGTTGACATATCTTGGGACACTTTAGGTATCCACCAACCACTAGAAGGCTGCATCCCAGTGCCATTGCTAGCCGTCGACACTCTCTCCCCTGGTACCATTATCAGTTCTTCGTATTACCTACGTCACCACTTTTCAGCTGCAGCGAGTCATTGTAGGTAGCATTCATCTTTGCGCTAGCAGCCACTCCTTATCTCTCCAACACTTACTCACTTGAATTGTTTTCATCGCACACCTTCGCTGGTTGGTTGACTTCAGCTTCCCCTGTAACTATACACCAATAACTAGAAGGCCTAATGCGAATTCAGTTGCTGTCCACTGCTTCTCTCTTTTTGTACCATTATCCTTTGTTCCTCTTATCTCCATCACCTTTTCTGCAGTGCTTCGTTATAGGATCCATACGTCTGTGCATATCCGCAGCTACCAGGAGATATCCCTTGTTGCTCCCAGCTGTACTCTTTTAAAATGTCTGTATCACCTACCCCACTGGCTTGCTGATGTATTCTGCGACATGGTAGGAATACACTAGTGACCAATCAGCTTAATGGGATGGTTATATCAGGCCACCAAAAGATTTGCATAGCGCCATCATCTGTCGATCCTCTTAACCAGTGCATCTCTATTTAGTAACAACTAGTGGTCGTAGGCTCCAAGCATCTTTGTGCATATCTGGAGCTTGCTCAGAGTCACTCCTTTAACCTCCAACCTTCACTGTTTTGGACTGTCTGCGTCACATACATTTGCTCTCTGTTGACTTATGCTGGGACAATTTAGGTGTCCACTACAACTAGAAGGCTTCACTTCAATGCTATAGCTAGCCGTCGATACTCTCACTCCCTTTGTACCATTATCAGTTCTCCGTATTACCGCTGGCACCTCTGTTTAGCGGCAGTCACGCTTCGTAGACTCTCACCATCTCTGCGCATATCAGGAGCTTACAAACAGCCACCTTTTTATTCCTCTCTGGTACTGCGTGCGGTACATACACTTGCTGTCTGTTGACTTACTCTGGGACACTTTAGGTATCTACTAGCCACCAGATGGCTGCACCCCAATGTCACGGCAAGCCGTCGATACTCTCTCTCCCTTAGTACCATTATCCGTTCTTCGTATTACCTACGTCACCACTCTTCAGCTGCAACGAGTCATTG